CTGGAGAAGAGGAGGCTGAGGGGAGACCTGATCGCCCTCTACAACTGCCTGACAGGAGGCTGTAGGGAGGTGGGGGTCGGCCTCTTCTCCCTGGTAACGGGCGATAGGATGAGGGGAAATGGCCTCAAGTTACACCTGGGCAGGTTTAGGTTGGACATTAGGAAAAGTTTTTTCACTGAAAGGATTGTTGAGCATTGGAAGAAGCTGCCCAGGGAAGTGGTGGAGTCCCCATCCCTGGAGGTATTTAAAAGACAGGTAGACGAGGTGCTTATGGACATGGTTTAGTGGTGGGATGGCAGGGTTAGGTTAACGGTTAGACTTGATCTTAAAGGTCTTCTCCAACTGAAATGATTCTTTTCTGTCATTCAAATATTTTCCCCCTCCCAGAATCCCCCCATTTTTATGAGTGGGCAGGGGCAGGAAGGGTCCAGGAATCCAAGTTGCAACTCTTTACAAGGCTTTCACCAGATGAATGACCCAAGAGAGATGAAGACCCACTCCTTTTGTAATCAAACCCTTTCAGGAACTAATTCTAGCCTGTGGATTAATCTGGTGGAGAATTTGAGTGAATTATTCTAGAGCACTTAGAAGATGCAACTTCCAACATCAAAGCTCACTAAGGTTCTGTATGGCATGACAATCGGCTGCAACGCTACGCCTCTAGTATCTCTCAGTTTCCCAATAAAGCATCTCAGACTCAACTACACTTGAATGTCAAGAAAATGAAGGGTGGAATAGGACAATGTATTTGAAAATTAAAAATAACCAAATCTCCATGCCTCTCTACTTAAAATGTAGACACTGTTCTGAAAAAAGGATTTGGAAAACCTGGTAATAATTGTATGAAATAGGCACGTATGGAAGAACGCCACTTTAACGTGGCAAAAAGCCCGAAACAGTAACTGCTAAACCCATCCAATTTCCGAGTATCCATGGAAGAACGCCACTTTAACGTGGCAAAAAGTAACTGCTAAACCCATCCAATTTCCGAGTATCTTCTTGCTAAAAGCCCATCCATGATTGTTTATGAAATGTACACTGCACATTCATAACCACCGAGTGAAAAAGCATTTTTCCTCCCATCTGATAATACCCATTATAGATCTGAGCTGTACAGCCTGTGGAATATTCATCGTAGGAACTGCAAAAGCAGCATTTATCATTACACAGAGAACGCTGAATACAGAAGTACAACGGAAGAACAGTATACTGAAGGTATAGTTTTAATGCATAAGCATTGTAAATCAGTTAACTTCATTCAGAACTGAAATACATAGGAAAGTAAAAAATTCTGCTTAGAGGTTATTTCTCTGCTGTACATATGTATATATTAGGACCATTAAGTGGCAAAAAGCATCCGATTACAAAGAGTGCTATACATCATTTTTATCACAAGGTGGTGCAAGTGACCCACAAGCACATTCACTTTACAAAACTGACAATATTTCGCTTTGTCACCCTCAAGCTAATAAGGCTTTTTTTACATGTAAAAATAAACAAACAAAAAAATGGCAAAACAACCAAATAACTCCCCTCCCCCCTGATTCGCAATCTGCTGCATTCCTTGACTCAGAATATTGCTTCAGCCTATCTTGGAAGTTTCCAAATTTTCCAACAGGCTGCTAGCTGCATGTCTCCAAGAGAAGTTATATCGGGAAAACGGTTCTTGTCGCTGTCAGGTCTGAAACGTTTTTCTCTTACAAAGAATAGGGTGCACTGAGAAACAGGTGTCCTTGATACATTATTTATTCCCTAAGCTTGAGGAATATGGGGGGCACTTTTCCGATGAGGACATAATGAATTCTCTACTGTAGACACTCAGAATTTACGTACAGAATACAGACAAAAGGGTTTATATATTTTATATGCAGAATATAGTTAATATAATAATAGCTTTTAACATACTTAAATACACTTCCATGGCAACTTAGAATAGGTAACAGAACTCAGATGCAGCACTGTATTTTTGGCAGAGAGCTCGGAGGAACTTTAGTAGTATCCTGTACTCCTATCAGCAGTACTCGTCCACATCAATGAATCTCAACAAGGCACAAACACTGCATCCCGTTATCTCTGTACATGGAGCATGTAGCTGTGAAACAGTTTACTGTTCCAAAATCATACATCATCAATTTGCGGCAGTGTGATTTAGGTTCATTATAACTGCTTCCTTGATCTTAATATTGTGTGTTGTGTATCTGGCATGATACTTCATTACGATTGATGTATAAAGAAGTAACACATTTGCACTAAATTGATAAAAAGATGACATGACTGTAGAATTTTTATATAAACAAATGAATTAAACTTAAAAAAAAAAAAAAGAGCTTGGCTTAGTATGAAACAAAAAAATCTTTTTTAGTATTCCACTACAGAAACTATTTAGGACCCCTTTCCACCAAGGAAAATGGAGAGGAGAACAAAAATAATGTTGCAAAATTCATGTTAAAGATAGGCATTTTGGAAATGATGAGACCTTTATATCCACTGATGGGATCAGAAAAGATCCTCAGCAAGCAGTATGCAACTGGGAGACAAGAAAGCTTCAAACTTCCACTAAGCAAACACAGCATGATTTACACTTGATGTAAATGGTGAAGAGAGAACTCAAGGCAAGAAAATAAACCAGAAACTGTTTGCCCTAGAGAAACGCAGTATGATTACAGGATTAGAACTTAAGAGACTTTCTTATGTCTTCCTACTGGGAGGAAAGATTGGGGTTTTTGCAGGCACTTTTCATGAGTGAGCTCATGAAAAAGAAGCATGATCCAAAATATAACAAAACCTATATAAATTAGGTAGCACTTTCAAGAACTGCCTTTCCTTGAAAATATGCAGTTATAAATCAGACAAAAACTTTAACTGAAAAGCGAATTCCCACTTCACAAAAAGCCCTTTAAAGATCAATAGTCATGACTGTTTCATGGAAAACCCCAAACCTAAAACAAAACTGCAAGCAAAATAAAATCTGGAGTTCCCGTTTTCCAGCACAGTACACACTGAAATGGTTCTTACAGCCTTTACAGTAGTAGCCTCAAAGGCCAATCGTATTTTTCCTAGATGTTAGAGGTTTACCTTGATTCACTCTAGTTACTCCTGGATTATACCTCCTTAAGAGACTGCATAATATAAAAGAATAGATAATTTAATTACTTGTTTGGCTCATGCGCACACAGCCCTGAATCCCAGGCAGTGGCCAAAGGCACTGAAGTGGCAAATGTGAAGTAGGCACACAAGGAGGGCCTTTACACTCTGTTCTGGCACTCGTCTAATTATGAAAGTCCTGTGACAAGATTTTGTTACGGTAGTTTAACAGACACAGAAGCCTCAAGGATTCAGAACTTGCTGAAGCACATAAACACTTGTATCTGCTTGGTGGGGATATACCCTCTTTTTCATTTCAGATGGGTTTTATGATCACTGAGAAACTACAGTCCGCAGTGCCACAGAAGTAATTGAACACTCCCACTGGCCATATTTATTGAACAGGCAGCCATTCCACTTCCAGCCATTCTCCCCCTTCTTTCTGCATATTCCACCTCTTTTTTTTCTGCTCTTACTTTGCAAAATAAAATGCACCCATGTAAGCCCTACCTCTCAAATCAACATCAAATATTAACACAATTATAATTTTGGCCCTTAAAAGGCACGCTTGGCAAAGTGATTTGCAGGCAAAAGCTAACAGACGTTACCATACAGAGGTGTGTGTATGCACGGATACAGAAGCATCTTGAGAACCAAAGTCTGTAGATAGAGCAGGTAAAGCAAGCACAAAGGTTCAGCTCCCCTGCTCAGCCCATTCACTTTGCAGCAGGATTCTTAGGAGGCTGCAGTTTGTAGGTGCTGAAGTAGTTCACCACTTGCTGAGGGACTTCTGCCAGGACACACTGCGCCAGAGCTTCTTTTGGAGACTTATAAAAAAAGAACACCAAGTTTCAGTTTCCACCAACTGTTAAAGGAGATCCTAAGATGGGTAATAAGCACCTCCTCCACTAGGTCAATTTAAAAGTCTGACATTTTACAGAGGACCTTGCACAGCACCCCTGTGGGACAGATGGAAGTTGCCCTGACATCTTTACCTTCTCGCTCCCATTACCAGGAACCAGCTGGCTGCCTTGTTCCACTGAAGTAATAGGAGCTGGGTGCGCAAAGGGCTGCCATGTCCGAAAATACCTTTCGTCATATGAAATGCACACACACAGTGCAGACATCAAACCTCAGCCATGTAAACACGCTTCCGCTATCTACTTAAGATGACCCTTTGGGGCTTGTCTAACATCTGCAACCTTTTGCACCAAGCGTCATCCACAGTAACTGTATTGCTACAGAGCAGCTCTTCTAGAGATACTGGTTTTACTGGAAGACTAAGTATCCATGGGGAAAAAAATGCTCCCCTTTTTCTAGAAATTGAAAGCATTTGATTATATATAATTTTATACTGAATTTTATAGCCTAGTTAACCTACACCCAAGTGCGTTATTCAGTAGGCATATTCTGTATTGATTTTTGCTCTATCTCCTTTCAGTTTACTTGAGTTGCTCTGAGATTAAAAAAAAAAAGAACTTGTACCAAAAGTAAAAATACAAAGACAAAATAAGGAGGCATAAGGTGTATTATTAACAGGGTTAAATATTAAGAAAGAAAAGCAAATTAGAACATATTAGGATGGAAATAAAAACACTGATCTTCACCATCCTGAGGAAATTTAGTTGTGTGTTTGGTTTTTTTGTTTTTTTTTTTTAAATCAACTTCTTCCAGTAATATGACATTTAAAAGCCAGACTATATTAGCCTGTGCATATTTTATTGGGTTCTACAGCAAAAAATCAGGACTCCATTCTTTCACTGCCTATTACTGTGCCCACACACAATTTCTACTGATTACGACCTCCCTGATTTAGTCTTGAATTTTAACACTGCACTGAAATGTGAGACTAATCCACAATTATAAATGGGCATCCACAATAAAAAAAACTTTTCTATATGAACAAAACCACAGTAAGTTCTTTCTCCCAAATGAAAAACACCACCATTTGTTTAATCAAGTCTGAGGGACATTTACAAAGGTCATTCCCCTGCAGCGACTTGTCAGAAATGCAGTGCTCAAACCAGAAATGAAGCCTCTTTAAACATAAATCAGCTCACCTAATGGAAACTTACAGATGCTGAGGTCTTCTGTCCCTTATTTTTTTTAGCATTTGATAAAAGACTTCTCTCAGACTTCAGAGTTCATTGTAGAGACACTGCAAAAGCTTAGGACTATACGTAGGATATCTTAGCAAACCCAGAATACCTCTACAATATTTATTAAGCATACCATTAAGAATACTTACATTGTGGAACTTCCTGAATGGCACGAACTGGACAATGTCTCTGACAGCTGGTTCTCCTGATGAGGATCTAAGAACTCCATTGTCACCATCAAGAAACTCCATAGCATCAAAGTCTGCTCCTCCAACACCAACAATGATAATGGACATGGGCAATTTCGAAGCATTAACTATGGCAGTTCGAGTTTGATCAAGGTCTGTTATCACACCATCCGTTATGATCAGAAGTATAAAGTATTGCTGTCAAATCAATAAACACTGTGTTATGACAAAGAAACAGAAAACATGTAGGCATGTGCTCTTAGAGAAAAGCACATACAGACTACAAACTGTTGCCACTTTGAGCATGTTCAACGCACTCACTCAATTTTACAATCAAACATCTAAGTTGCGGTCAGGCTTCATCTGTGCAGTCTGAAGAAATTTCTAAGGACAACATTATCAATTTATTAAAAGAAGTCATCTTTAAACAGCCACCTCACAAAAACCCAATGGTATCACTCTTCTCCTCTCCAAAATACCCCAACAAACCAACAGTTGGAGGTTTGTTGAGGTTTTGGACAGAAAACACCTGTGAAACCTGTATTTGTTTTCTTTTTCGTCTATCAATACTTTTATGAAATGCTACCCTTCACTTCATTTATTCAAGAACAGATGAACAAAAGAGTGCTACCAAGGGTAATGGAACAAGCCTTCATTTTTTCAGTGTATCCCTAAAATCCTAAATATAGATTAAACCACATCTTTTTGTGCTGAAAAAAATGGCATGCCTATTTTCAAATTCCTTTAATCGTGTTTTCTAGCTGCTTTATGAAATAATTACCAAGGCATCTGAGACCACCTTGCAGTACTTCAGTAATTTATTCAAGTACCACTTGAGTTGCTTCCACCATACTGCCAGGGCTTCTAAAAGTTGGCATCTTAGCCTCTGTTCTGGATTGAAGTATCAAGAACAAGCCAGAAGTACAAAGTTGAGAAACTATCAAACACTTCTTGAACTTCTGATCTTCTCTCACTCGATTCATTTCAGACAATTACTGGGCAGCACAAATTCAAGATCCAAAGGTACTCCCAGTATTCTTAGAAGTCTTTCTCTTCAATACTTTGCTCCCCATCTTCCCTTATCTGCCTCCAAAAGAATTGGTTTTTCCTTATCTCCTGTGTTAAAGTATCACCTTTCCTCACTGCTCCCCACTACTCCATTCCCCTACTCTAGCAAGAATGTCTACAAAGCAACCCTGCTGAGAGAAGGCTATGACCAGCAGCACGATAGCACATCACACTGGATTTATTTCTTTCTTCTTATACTTCCCCCATACTGGAGAAAAAAACACCAAAAAAGAATGCCAAAACCAAAAACCAACCCAAAATATCTATGATATGCATTAAACAGCAAGGCAGCAAAATGCCTTCAATACATCCTTCCAGACAGAAAAAAAAAAAAAATAAGTCTCTTGCTAGGCATATTGCACTCTCAGGAAAAAAAAGAGGTTTTGCTCCTTTCCTAATATATATATTGACGAAAGTTACTACTGAAAGACTACCAAGGCAAAACCTTGTAAACCTCTTTGCGTATGAAAATCCATAGTTCTTTTCCAAAATGGCTTCCACAGATATTTCTGTATGCAAAAGTAGATAACCTTACTTTCTGATTTTACATGTCGTCTGATACACCCGTATGTGCTATCATCAATGATTCAGGATATATATGGCTTCAGATTTGCTGAACTTGCATGGATTATTATCTAAATTACTCAATACTGTAGACTTACTCTTCAGACTTTTGATTTCTTAATATGGTCAACAACTCACGCATACAATTTGAATAGGGAGGAGGGCACAGCACAAACACCACCTAGAGCTTTATAGTAAGGACAATTAATTATCTATGTTGGTACCTAGGTGTCAGAACCTATATCCTCCATTTCTTCACTACCTTACTTAATTCTCTCCCAGCTCTCTGATGTGAAACAACGTCTAGTTGATTTTTCTCAGCTGAGGTCAAATCCCTCTCCTATAGCAAAGGCTTAAATTAGACTTTAACACCTGTATAGCACTCTAAGAGCTTTGAATAGAAGATACCATACGGGTGCCACATGTATTTAAATTGACATTTCAACTCAAGAGTTTGTTTAGTTAATTTAGGAGAGAATTGTTGTGTACAATCTGCAAAAAAATCAGTTAGCTTTTATTTCGTTTTAAGGGTACCAAACACCAATTCACAAGGTAAATGGCCAGCTGACAAAACAAGGATACTTAAAAACTTGAGAGAAAAATAGTACTTATAAGCTACAAGGGAAAGGAAAAAAAAATACACAACTATAAAGAACTTACAGATGCTGTTTGCTGTTGTGTAGCTGCAGCAGCAAATCTTGCCACATGATTTATAATTGGAGAAAAATTCGTTGGCCCATATAACCTCACTTGAGGAAGACAAGCCCGATATGCATCAACAATGCCTTGGATTCCTAGAGAACACAAACAGATCACATTAATTTTTGCATATTAGAATTAGGATATTTTGAGGCACTTGATCTTCCTAAAATACTGTATATATACAGTGTTTTAAAGTGATGATGCAAAGATTTAAAACTAACCATAAAGAAAAAAAATAAATGCTTCATGAGCAATGGAGGCCTTCAGCTTGACCAATGCTTAACACACATACTGAACATGCTTGGCTTTATGCGAATAGAAAGGCCAAATACTGTACGCTCAAGTGCGCCTAACCGAATTACAACAGTTCTTTTCACCTAGCAGCTTGTGGAAGTTAGTAGTGTGATGAGAGAGGTCGTGTTGAAGAGGCACTAGCTGCATCATACTCAAAACAGACAACTCCACACCAGCAGTGAAGTAGAACAAAGTGGCTTGTCAACATGAAAGAACTGTTCCCAGCTTAGCCGTACCTGTGCCCTAGCACTTCTTTCACAAATCGTTACAGGAGAGGACCAAAGGCTATTTCTAATAATTAAGAAAACAGTTATAAAATTCTTTCCTGCTACACAACTAAACTCATTATTTAATTAGAACACTCTGCTTCACAGTTCATCTTTCAAATGCTTTTATACCTTCACCTTAGACGTTTTATTCTCTAGCTCTGATGTTACTTCCGCAGACTTACCATTACAGAATGGGTTTGATGGGTTAAAATTTAATGGGAACTCATGTGACACCTGTCAATACACAAAAGACATAGTCAGGACTGTATATAAAATTTCTTCCTGAAGTAAGTGCTTTTAGTAGTCTTATGGAGTGCATTTACATATTCCATTACCTGAAAGGAAGGAGGAATTTGTGCACCAAATCCAAAGGCTGGAAACATCTTATCTCTAAAAAAGCAATTTTAAAGAAAATTAAGCGAGTGCCTTCCTTTAACAGCTGTCATAGTTCAGTAAGTTGAGCTAGTTAGTCCTGCTTTAGATCATTAAAAATGCTGTTTATTAAGCATTAAGAGGCAAAATTAAATGCAAGTTCCCCCCTATAACTGTTTCTAGGACCAAAACCAGTCTTTTACATCAAATTGGCAAGAACGCAAGCATTTATTTGAATTATTACTGCTCTTTACATCACAGATGAAAAGCCTTGCTTGTCTGCTGTAAACACAAGCTTATGCTTGTGATTATGCAGTGATTATGAAGTCTTTTTAGCTCTACATTTCAGCTCAGAAGTTTCATTCTCATATATCTGCTGTCATCTTCAACACTAGTTTAAGAAACTACCACAAAAAAACTATATATAGAAATCTGTATCTAAAAAATGTTTTAAATTAAAATCTAAAACTTACGTATCATAATCCTGAACGACCATTCCTACAGACCAAATGGCTGTTAGGTATTCATTAACTCCATTAGGGCTAAGGTAATGCAAAGAATCTGGAGAGCGAGGGTCTCCATTGGAGCCTGTAAAATCTATCCCCACCTGTCAAATGCAATATTTATATCAAATTACTGCTAGAGGTAAAATTAGGTTTCTTACCTCTGGCAAAGCCAAAGTGAAAATCATGAAAGAGTTGTAAACAGTAGTTACCAGGACATCTACAAATCTAAACAGGCACAGTACTCAGATGCAGATTTCTTGGAATATCACCACTCTTAAAGCAATGCCACTAGAAAAACAGCAGAAGCTCTACATCTCTCAGAAGGGCTGAAATGACTTTCATCTGTCAGGTTTTCACTGTGTTTACTTTTAGTTACCATTCACAGCAGCTCTTCAACAGCTGTTAAAACTAATTTCATCCTGTATCTTGCCATACACATCTTTTTGCGCAGAAGCATGACTAGCCACACACCGCAGAAGCCTAGAGACAGTTCTTTCTGACCTCAGTGGGGCTTCTCTGCTTTGGTGATGAGGCATATTACCAGGGTGAAGACATCTTACTGTTATTTGTGCTGCATTTGGTTTGCAAATTAACTTAAGGGTCCTAAGCCATACGTTCCGTATGCTGCTTTCATTAAAAGGCCTTGAAAACCACCATCAAGGGCAAAAGTAAAATCTTTGGTCAGAGGAAGGGGCGGCAGGGGGAGAGTCCATATGAGAAGGAAACTTGAAGTAAATCAGAGCACTGAAAATTTTTCATTGGTCTCCATCCACACAGCTCAGCTAGTTCTTAACAAATATAACTACAGGTTCAGAACTTTGTGCCATAAAGAAAGTATTTTTTTCTAAACAGACAAGATGGAATCTGGCAAAATGGCTTCCCCCACTTCATGCTACAGAACCAAAAAAAAAATACAATAATCAAATGAAGAGCACAGGCAATCAATTACATACTTCAGTTTGTTCCAAAACTCAAAAGCTACTTTATATACATTATTTGACTTACTGTGAAATTCAGCTGACACCCACCCATGATGTAATCAAGGAATGTGCATTCTACTATGATCTAAAAATGTAAGTTAAAGATAGAAATTAACCTTTTTTTTTTAATGGGAGAAAACCAGTACATATTATATGGCAGCAAGTTTTGGGGTTCCAGCTTTGTTATTTTTACCCACACAAAGCCCTACTTTTACTCTTCTACAGATATCCCACCAACCCACCCACTGCGCTGAGGATATTTACCCTGTGTGCCATCACACACTCAGTGCATCAGAATCAGGCCTTCTACAAAATTACAGGCAGACAACAAAGCAGCTCCAAAAGCACATATGTAAAACACCACATTGTGACAGACTTACCAGATTTTAATTCACCATAAAATGTCGAGTTGGGAAATGCAGTGATTCAGGAATGGCCTTACAAATTGGCAAGCAATCTTTGCCATATAGATGGCATCTTCACAGACATGAGATTCAGCTGTCAATCTTTCTCCTTATATGAACCACAGTCCTTAAATAATTACTGTGTCTGGAACTTTCAGACATTTTACATTTACTTACAGTTTGAGGGTGAAGGTATACTAGATGAGAGTTGTTATGCCAGAACACTTAAAACCAAAAAGTCATACCAGAATACATTACTGACCTCACAGCGCTTAACGCTCACAATGCCAGAGTTTTTATAGCTTTTTTTCTTCTGTCTTTTCTTTTCATTGATGCACTCAAATTCAACCTGCATGAACGCAAACAAATCCAACAAAAGCACTATAAATACCATTTATACAACAAATTTTAAAAATCCTTTATTCTAGGACTGATACAGTGGGCTTGCATTAAAAATGCAGTTTATTTCACTATCAAGCAAAATTAAACATAGACTGCCCAAAACCAGCAAGAAAAATCCCATTATCCAGACAGAAATCCTCTCTTATCCAAAAGCTTACAAAAATGTTTGTTTAGACAACTGTAGTTCAACCAAACAATTCGGTACCACTTTCACTCTCAGAGTTCTGCTAAGAACTTTCTTTTTCGTAAAGACATGGCGATTCAGGCAAAGCATCACTGTTTCCAGCAGCCCTGGCAGTAATGTAGGAAATAAGAGGTAAACATTTAAGCTTTCTAAAGTCAGTTGTTGACGCTTCATCAACTAAACCAATACCTTAACCCCCAAGTGCAATTAACAGTTAGCCAGGTTAAGCAGCTCCTGCCATCATACAGTCATGATGGCACAATGCAGCATGCCTGGTGCACAAACAGTCTGAGGATGTATTCCAGACAGGCCTTCTGGCTTAGTGCCAGAAACAGGTTCTGCTGCTTTGGTTTAAGTTAATTAAGTTTTAAAAAGCAAGCTTGCAATTAATCTCAAAGAAAAAAATACAAGAAATCGGTTGGATGGTCGCACCCAGAGGGCAGTGGTCAATGGCTCGATGTCAGGTGACAAGTGGTGTCCCTTGGGGGTCCGTACTGGGACCAGTGCTGTTTAATGTTTTCATCAATGCCATAGACAGTGGGATCAAGTGCACTCAGCAAGTCTGCAGATGACACCAAGCTGAGTGGCGCGGTTCACATGCCAGAAGGACAGGATGTCATCCAAAGAGGATGGACAGGCTGGAGAGGTGGGCCTGTGTGAACCTCATGAGGTTCAACAAGGCCAAGGGCAAGGTCCTGCACCTGGG